ATCCACGTAAGCTTCACAGCCTTGAAACTCAAGTATAACAAATATTCTTTGAAAATAGCTATACAAATATGTCCAAAATAAATAAATCTGTTGGAACAAGCAGTGGAGAATTTGAAAATTAGGTCCAAATGACATGTCTTTAACCCTCCCTATATCTTTTTATCTTTTCTGAATGATTTAATACTCTACAAAGGGCAATATTATTTGGTTAGGAGAGCCCTATGATGTGAAAGACTAGGAACCCCACTGTAAAAATGTTGATTTTGTAGGAAAATAGTCTTAACAACTAAAAAACTAACAGAGCAATGTTAAAAAAAACTTAGTCACTCTATTAGGATATGAAAAGTAAACTAAATACCACAACAAAGATGACAGGCGTGATCTTGTCGTTGAATATGGTAACAATGATAAAATTGAAAAAGATCAAAGAATGATATTGCTCTGCAGCGAGAGATTACTGTAAATCTACTGAGATCTACTAAATAGTATAACAATATGATTTTGTGACTTTACACAATAAGAATTTTTTGTAAACTTTTGTTCCAATAAAAGTTACTTGTAATGTTAAATTTGTCTAATGCCCAACTATAAATCCTTAGTAAACGGTTTACTTACAAAGAGTATACAAGACTTTTTGCCGGATGAAAGTATTATTTAATGTAATTAATAGGGGTGTGCGAGTACTCGAATCTTCGAGCTTTTTGGTCGAGCTTTTCATTATTCGGCTCGGCTCGAGGCATTTTGAAAAAGCTCGAAGTTCGAGCCGAGCTTTTAATACTAAGTCAAAACTAAAAAAACACTTTATCTAACACAGCTATTCGTATCGTAATATACAACGCAGTGCGAGTGCGTGATTGGCTTGTCGCTATGACGACACATGGTTGCCGTGACAACCCTGTGCGCACTGAGCACTGCGCCTTGTGTGTGAGGGGAGATTATACCAACAAACTATTTCAGGAATTCTATTTTGGGACCGATGAAAGATAAGGAAGAAACAAAAAGTGGTCACGTGTGCAAATGTAGTGGGCGACACAATAAGGCTGTAAACGAGTATCGTCATGCCGTTGTTCCTTGTTTGTTTACTTTTTCAGATTCCTTATCAAACGCCCCTATCTGCTATCTCTCTTTCTCTCTCTCTCTCTCTCTCTCTCTCTCTAACAATGTACTGATTAAACAGATTGTGGTTGACGACTTTTCTACTTATAAGATTCCCTGCGGTTATTTTAGTTCAATCAAACCCATAACCTTTCTAATGTTTATCAAAATAATTAATTAATCTGTTTTGTATTTTATTCCCTACCAACCCCTATTTACCATCTATATTTTATAGAATAAAATGTTTGTTTATAAAGTTTGACTGGTCACACAATTTTGTACCTATTTTATTTTGTTTAAAAGTAGGGGTGTACGGATATCTGAAAAATCGGGTAACAGGGCCCAAATTCAATATCCGACACTATCCGTTATATATCCGGCTTTTTCGGATAGACAATATATTTTGACGTTTTGGACAGAAAACTAAATCTCCATAGCCACCATTAGTTTTCCAGGACAAAATTACAGCAATACGTTTCCAACGACCTAACAGCAAACGGCAAAGAAGCCGTATGATGCAATACTGATAACTAGTTTAGTCCTTATCGGCTGTTTTGCTTTACGATTAGATTCGTCTGGAACGAACAGACATAAAGCAGAAAAGAACTACCATGGTCAAATGAAAGTCAACTCGTGCTTGTCTCCCTCCTGATACTAGGGGCGCTGCGTAATAGTTTTTTTTACAGTACTGTTTCAAATTCAAAGTAGAAAAATCTAGCCTACTACTGTGAAGTTACGTAAACAATACATTTAATGTTTCCCAAAAAAAAGTGAGAAAAGAAACAATAGAAAGGCAACACAATAGAAGGGTGGGAGGGGTTGGGCAATGACCTCGAAAGGAGCGCGGGTGTAGTGAGTCAAGTAGGACCGGAGGGGGAAGGGATGGGTAAGACCTTGAAGCTATATATAGACTTGCACTACTTCCCTAAACCTAAAGGACTGGCCGGCGAGTGGTATTCCAATCACAGGACAAGATACGTTGTGTTTTAGGTATTCATTGCCCGGTTTGACTTTGGATTGTCTTACTGTGTAGAAACTTTGAATAATAAAAAATAAAGTTAGAACTAACCACGATTATTTAGCATTGATTGTGTACATATTAAATGATTAAACTATAGGGACCATGGATATATACAAACTTTTGTCGTGATTGTAATTTCAACATCAAAATACAATATTGCACAATCGTGATATTTTAGGTCATCGACCTTTATTATGCATCCGGTATTGCTGTTTCGGAAGAGAAGCACGTTGATAAATTATAAATTGATATTCCCGTAGTTAAAAAGAATTATTTTGTAAACCTATAAAACAAAATCATAAAATCTTACATAAAGATAACAATAACGGAGATTGTAAAAAAGGTATAAAGATAACACGTTATTCTTTCTCTTTGTTCTTATATTTCTTGGGTTTCCCTTCATCACGCATTCAACAAGTTGCCATGGTTACTAATCACCCATGTCGTTATCAGCTTTTGTGACATAGCGCACAGCAGGGGGGTAAAACTTGACGAAAATCGGTTAATTTTTACCTATTATTTAATTACCAATGAATGTACTACTTTATTGGTATTTGGTACTGTATTAATAATCGGTCAAAATGGCCGATTTTTGTCAAATTTTACACCAAATTTATTGAAATTTTAAGGTGAATATTAATAAAACAATTATTACCAAACATTTGTATTCATTTAAAAGATTGATTTGTGGTATTGGATTCCCCACTGAGTGCAGCCGAGCGGCACTAATGAGGGTCGGACCTTCTTGGGGGTGAACAATAGACGGCTTATCAGACCCTCCCCTCCCCCGTGGTCTGGAGAAAGCTTGTAAACAAACTATGTCACAAGCGACTTGACATTTGGCTGCTTCAACTATAATTTTGTCAAATGAACTGTGATGTTTCAAAATCAAAAACAATAATTTGGGACCAGACTGCTTAACAATAATGGACTGCAATTATTGTTGAACATACAATCCATTTTTAACAAACTAAGATTATACGATTCAAATACAGTTATAAAAATTATCTTGGTATTATACTTGGGGTAATGAAGTTATGTAGGCTAGTGTAATTCTCAGTTCATCAAGGTTCTACTGAATTATGTTTGGCAGTGAATAAGTGTAGAATGCAATTTATTAATTCAGGGATACACACCTTTTACACAGTTATAAAGTCGTTAATTAATAGAAATAGTTAATTCTGGAAAATTAAAAATAGTGATCGCATTCATAAACCTGTTGTCAAAACAGCAACACGGGTGTAAGGGTTTATTGTTTTAGATGCAAGGGTGTTTCAAGGACAAGGTACAGTGTTGGGCCTCCCGGCTTAGGGGGGGAGGGGGGTGGTGAGACTGTGTGAAGGGGAGGAAACTGGTTTTGGCTATTTATTGATTAGTTCCCTGACCCTTCTAGATAACAAAATTGAGTGACAGTATTAAATCATCGTGTACTTTATTTCATTTCTTGTTTACTTTGTGTGTTATTCTATTAATTTTAGTGTTTTGGTCTATTTCCTCTATGTCAATTATATCTTTTTTAATATATAAGTTTACTTTTTACTTGTCTCTCCACCTTTTTGGATCCAAACCAACCATATTCTTTTTTTGATTAATACGATTCATAAAACAAAAATATTTTGTGCATGGAAAACAAAAAGAATAATCACGTGTTTTACAATTTATTTTGTATTTATTTATACAAAATAGAATTAAATATTCATAGTAGTTACAATATACATTATGTAATCGAGTTGCTAGTTGTTTTGTCATCATTCAATGTCGCGTCGCTGTTCTGTTCAAGAATCAAGAAGAATCAAGAATATTTATTTGCCATTAAATAACAGAACGTTACTGTTATGAAAGACAATCTGATTGTCTCAGTCTGCACTGCATATCTCGGCAGGCCTTCAATCGATATCCTTTTATTTCTTGCATCTTAATTTAGTTCAGTTCAGTTCTTATCGTGATTATCTACTATTTGATGTCTTGACAATTCTCAATGTTTTTAAACATATTAAAATAACATTGTGTTTATTTAAAAATTGACAGAACATTATTATTATTATGCACTTTTTAAGAAAAAAAGTTTAGTAACTTAGATAAGGTAGGTAACGCTAGGAAAAGCTCGGCTCGAAAAAGCTCGAGCTCGAAAATTTTTTAAAAAGCTCGGCTCGGCTCGGCTCGAGGTTGAAAATCACTATTCGCACACCCCTAGTAATTAAGTGATGAGATTTTATTCTACAAGGTGCCCAATGTTTAGCGACCCCAAGGATTTAATGATGGATAGCAAACAATGCTAAGATTAGCAATAGAAATGTTTAATGTTTAGGAACATTTGACCTTGACTAATTTAAACAGTTGATACATGTTTTTTCTTGTATGATTTTAAGATTTTGTTTGCAAGGTTTGGCTTTTTAGTTCTTACTCATAATTTAAAAAGTATTTTTAATAGTAGTCGTAATAAAGTTTAAACTAGGCTTGTGTTCATATTCAAAAACAAATTTGGTGAGGGCAGGATTAAAAAATATTGTGTTAAAATAAGATAAACAATTATAAATTCTTGATCAATAATACTCTTATGTCATATCTATTTTCTTACACAATCAAGTATTAATATGGTTCGAAGAGTAAGGAGTGTGTACCAAAAATGTGTAATAAAAATACTTATTTATGTAGTGATTTGGAATATTTAGATACCTAGGCCATAATTTTATTTCTAATCAAAACTGAATCACTTACAGCTTTTAAGCTTGGTAACCATTTTAAGATCTTAACGTAAATGTCAACAAATACTGAAGATAAATAATGAAAAAAATAATGAAAAGAACAATAAAATAAATACAATGGAATCCCGATAATCAGAACTTTGGTAATACAAAAGTCCGCTTAATAAAACCGAAAAAGCTGTCAGCTGTCGTCTTTAGTTTTTGCTGTGTGACGAAGTAATTTGTAGCGTCCGAGCGGACGGGCGAGATAGACTTTTAGTAGGCCAATGGGCCAACTTAAACGTTGTGTATTTCATAATTATGTGTATTTTAGTAAACATTTCACTTAATCCGAAATATTTGGTAGGCCGAAATGGGTCCGGTCCCATCCATTTCGGACTATTGAAACTCTACTGTATTAGTAAAATCTAAAATCTGAATGAAAAGAATAGTTTCATACGATTACATTACGAAATGCTTTGCATTATATACCGTTACATTATATTATATACATATTACTGGGTTACATATAAAATCTAGTATGGCAATTGGGCTTGTCAGCCAAGTAGGATTTTAGGTTAGCCATTTACATTAAATATACTGCTTTATAGATACATCCTTACCGATCAAGTGAAGACAATTTTACTTTTAGTTCCATACAGTTCATGTAGAAAGTGTGTTTATGTTTACTATTTGTTTCTGGTTATTTAAAAAGTATTATAACCAATGAAAACAATGTAGTTATAAGCTTGTCCTTTTGTTTTATAACCAAACAGTAAACAAAAATTATGAAATTTATCCTAAAGAAAAAAATAATTTTGTCAACACTGGCGGCGCTCAATGTCACCAACACGAGAAACTCGTAAAAGAACAAGTTTCAACCTTTACAACAGGTTGAAAGTCTTTGTATCAAAGTCAATGGTATAACTTTAACAAACATTCCAATAAAATAAGACATTGGCACCAGCTGTACACTCAATAAAGACTTCCGTCGTCTTGAAAGATTGTATGGAAAATAAAATCATTAAAATATTACTAAAACCACAAAATCAAAGAACCACTTTCATTTTGTACATAATTTTTACTCTGATTAATGCTATTGCTGTCAACACAGTGTTTTCACGTCATAAATATCACACCAATAAATTTATCACAAGCTCAATGAAAAATTAAACTTTAAACCACCATCAGTGACAGCACTGAAAAACTGATATAACAAATAGAAAATAATAAAGCAAATTGTAAATTCCTCATTTGCTTATCATAAATCGTCGTAGAAAAAATTATCAAAAACTCATTGAAAAGTGTGTGTTAACATAATGAAAGTTGTAATTTTAAAAATGAAACCATTCAGGTACGATAGTTATAAATTGATTAGCTCGCATCAGCATCTGTCACATTGAAAAACTTTGAAAACAAATCCAAACAGATTGCAAAGTAGAAATGTATAGAATGGTGTTACATGTACGATGGTAGAAAAAATTAAATCCGGCAAAACATGTGTATGGGTAATGATCCTTGTGATACAAAAATGGTGAAGTTACGCTTAAATTACAAGGTTTATTAACCTCCCCTCATAGACAGCTCCCCTAGAGTATCACAAGAGGGGGTTCGGATGCTTTGGGCTTTCTGGAATAGTTCTTTGTCACCAAAGTTGCGGGCTTTCCACTGCATCGTGTCCTCTGCAAAAGCAAGGCAAACGGTCATCAGCAAACACCTGATAATTGAGGGAGTGATGTAACAAGGAAGGAAGGAACAAATTAAGAGGAAAAGGAGCAAAGAGTCAACATTAAACACCTGATACACCAGGGATTGGATTGACAAGAACGGAAATATGAGGAGAAAAAAGAGGAAGAAAAAAATAAGTGAAAGAGTATGCATTTAGTAAAAAAAGTGGGTGGTGTTCCAGGTCGGTTATGTTGCTTCTCGTTAGAATGAACTGATGAGGACAAAAAGTAAAAAAGGGGGAAAGAAAGAAAATGAGGAAATAATGAAGAGAAAAAGAAGCAAAAAAGAGTCAACAGTAAACAATTAATAAGCAAGACAAGGGGAGCGAGAATCGATAGACAAAAAAAGAAGGAAAGAAGGGGAAAGAAACGTATGAGAGTCATAAAAAAGTCAACAGTAAATATGAAAGTAAGGAGGTGAGTTATTGGAAAAAGGTTCCAAAAATTTGAGTAAATGATATACAGATGAGAATAGCTGGGACACAACCTCCTTTAACCTGAAAAACACAGCCACGGTCAAATCAGACTATTTCAACACAACCAAAAAGATGTTTATTTTCACTTTTTATTTAAATTTTTAAATTTCCATTAAAGTATTTAAAATCTAATAACTTTTATTTAGATCTTTCAAGTTTACAGACATAACTATATGTATTAGTGATGTTACAAAACCAAATCTCAAATTCATCAAAACTCTGGAAATTTTTTTGTATTTTTAGAGTTGATCGGCGAGTTTTGAGATTCAATTTTCGAAATTTAAGATTTTGGAAGTTTAGGTTTTGAAAGTGCTGACATTTTTCTGCATCATTATTTTGGCTTATAACGCCATTTACACAAGCTGGCAGCAATTGAGCAAAGAGAAACCAAAACACTGATAAAACTAGAAGAGTAAATTATATTCTGAACTTCAATATGTATCATAAATACTGGAACAATGTACAATACGGTATCATTTGAAAATCCACTGAACATTGACCAATAAATGTTTTTAATTATTGATCTATTATCCATATTTATGTTAGTAGTTATTGATCTATTATCCATATTTATGTTAGTAGTTATTGATCTATTATCCATATTTATGTTAGTGTGAGTAGTTAATTCACTATTTTGTGTTTGTTGTTTAAATCATGTTGTTTTTTATAAGTTTAAACTAAAGTGTACATATTCATGTTATTATATCAGGGTCGGGTGTCTATTTCTTCCAGTTTTGCATATAAACATTATATTATTGCATAAATTTATTGTAACCTTAACTAGGCAAGAAAAAAATCACCTTTAGGTTTTATGATTTGAGATTCAGGATTATATTTTTTTTAGTTTTGGTTTAAGTTTAGAGATGTGAAATTTCTGGTTTGACCATCACTAATTTTTATGTATGGCTAATTCCCCTTTAGAAAATCCACAAATACATTTTTAACAGTTAAAAACAGGAGTTTGTTTAACTTTTACGTAACTTAAAACTACTGTAATATCTATATTACTGGTAAATTTGCTGGAACAAATTTTAGAAACACTGTAGCATAAACTTGGAAATATATTAACAATTTTTTCATTACTTATTCTCTACTTATAAGTATAGTTTTATAGCTATTGTGTGAAAATATTAATTTTAAAATAGTGCTTAGCTACAAAACAAAATATGTACATATTATTATCACTATGTACATAAAACTCTGTGTTAAATTAGTTGTTAGTGGGTTAGGTGAAAAAAGCTTGATGGTAATAGTGTTAAGTTATACATTTGATAAATTGTAAGGATGCACAAGACTGGATTTTATGTTCCAGACAAGATCGAGACGCTATTTTCTCATCATAATTCAAGACAAGATCGAGACGAGATTATTTCATTACTATCAGGAATTATTCGTTTGAGCTAATGGTTATTAATAACAATACAGTACTTTAAAACTACAACTTAAGTGCAATAACCCTATAACTATTTTTGTATTACAAAGTTCAATACAAAAAGAGCAAATAACAAAAGCTTACAATAACTTAAATAGTTATGACAATTTTTAATAACAAAAAAATCAAATGAAATTATCATTTTATGTAAAACTGTAACATTTACAAAACAACTAACGGTCTCACATCAAAAACAGTCTATGAAAGACAAAAGAATTGTAGTTCAGCATTAAATCCTCGTTTATCCGGTATTTATTTATCCGTTATTCTGGTTGACTCACAAAGGTTCTGTTTCAGCCTAAATAAAAACTTTACTTTATATATAACTAGGTACAAAAAATGTATATATGCGCGGAATAAATTAAATAAGATCGCCTTCGCAATAGAAACGCAACAACAACACGCTCCTGTATTGCGGGTATTGCATAGACTTTCTGAAGGAGTTTTTTTTTTCAATCTCGTCTCGAAAAGTCTTGGAGCAAAGTTAATCTCGCTTGAACAAGCAAGATTTTTTTAATCTTGCAAAAATCTTGAAAATTAGAGACCTACTATCCCTAAAAATGGTTAAATTAAATTACATAAATGGTATGAATGAGCAATGGGGAAAAAGATCCTTGGGACAGGTCCGTACAATGATAGGAAAAGAACTAAAGAGAATGAAAAAGAAATAAACTTCAGACAAATTTGTAAAGAAAAAGCTATTTTTACCGTTTTATAGTTATGGCAATTTTTTCCCAGACATGTTAATCAGTACAATGTTGTTAATTAACAGCAGCCCACACAATCCCTCCTTTCAAACAGAAAATATTTCAAATCCAAACATGTACAAAAATGAAATAGTTTGTAAAGTGTGTGAAAATTTATTTGAGCAGAATTTAAGAAAGAGAAGAAAAAAATTTAATTTTGGTTCATAACGAGATGTTAGATTACATAATTAAAATTGATTCAATCTAATTACAGCTTGGTTATTAGAAAATACTGGTGTTATTTACGAAAATTTGGTTGTTACACTTAATAGTCCCACTCATTGCTTAGCTTTTCAATAGTTTCATTCAGTATTTTTACACTTATTTTACATCAGGAAATTCAGAAAACTGTTTTCTTGATACTAAAATAGTAATCCATAAGGCTTTAAATTAGTTGGTGATTTAAACAAACTTACTACATCTAACGTTCTAACTGACAAAGCAAACTACCTAAAACTGACTATAACGCATGGTAAATTACATCAATTAAATATATCTGCTGGCAATGTTCACCAACTGACTTTATCTACTGGCAATTTACATCAAATGACTTGGTGTATGTATATAGTTTAGTAGCAAAATTTAATTTTGATGGAAGGAAAGCCAAAGATGAGATATTATAAGGAAGCATTCAAACATCTAACAACTTATTGTATTTTCTGCTAAAAATGTACACCAACTGACTAAATCTGGTGCTAATTAATTTTTCCAAATGGTAATTATGTTTATCGCAGCACTATCAACAATTAACCTACAATCCTTCTTTAATTTGAATCCAGGCAGATACACTAACCTATTATATAAATTCTAAAACAGAAAAAGTATACAATGGAAAACCCCAAGAATAGAGTTAAGAAGGATTTAGTACACAATAGACAAACTAGTACAACTGAAAAATTTTATCTAAATTCACAACTAGAAAAAAAACACAGTGATAGCTTACGGTATAAAACCATCTCTTCCAAAGTCCTACTTTAAAGATGTAAAGTAAACTAAGTCATCCAAAACATTAAACACAAGAGAAGGACCATTAAGTTAACACAAACATCCAAACACCGCAATTGAAAGCCAATAATCAAAAGCCAATCATACCCACACACACCAGTTTAATTCCTCACATAGCTATTGGTGCAGGAAATCAACTACACAAACCATCCGGCGAGGCCTTGGTATTTCTTTCTTATCTCCTGTAAACGCTTGCAATGAGGTTTATCCCCTAGATCTGTAAAGAATCATCGGATAATGATCAAATTAAAATAACGATCAAATTAAAATAACAACAAAATCAAATTTCAACAATAAAAACGTTTTAAGCTGAAAAAAAGTTTCAGAACAAAACAAAAGGTGGAATTGCTATCGTCTCTATTTTATGCTTTGCGATATCTTGGATATAATGCTTTAAACTTGGAGGTGATTCGGTGGCTCAGTCGGTAGCACCACACACTTAGAGCCCCTATTGCTGCGATGTTGTGGGTTCGGATCCTGCTTCCCACCACTACTTTTTATCAATACAGTTCACCCTTGTATGTACTGTACCAGCTCACCCCTTACTTTGCTGTATATGATACGCACACAGGCCTCTGTGGCCTAGTTGAACTGGCAAATGTAAAGTAAAAGAGGCCGCCAACTCTTAAAATAATTATCTAATTCACAATATTATGAATTAAAATGTATATTGTTCTTTCTGAACAGGCTTCATAGTTAGTTTTTTTATGAATTCCTTACACAACCGAAAATATATTCCAAGCATGTTAGAATAAACATGGTGTCTACTAAACCTGGTTTGAAAAATTCAAGGAGTTTTCCAGGAGAATTCAAGACAAATTCCTGAATTTTAAGGAGCTACTATCGGAACCCGTTTAACTAATCGCAACCCGCTAATAAATGAAAATGATTATTATTAGGCTATTATTATTATTAATAATGATTATTATTATTTGAAACAAAACATTTCCAAAGAATAATATTTTATACAACATAATAAAACAGTATAACTGGTAGGTAAGGCGACACCAGTTATCATCTCCCGCGATTGTGGGAATATCAGTGAGCATATCTTGCAGTATCTTCAACATCAGCGACAAAACGTCACACCGTCAACGATCACGGCAACACCCGTATGCATATTTTGCGGTTTGGGCGACACCGATAATCGTCTCTCGCGATCGCGGTAATACTCGTGAGCATATCATGCGGTTTTAGCAACAACGATAATCGTTTCCCGCGATCGTGGCAACAAAAGCGGTAGTGTTTCGGTTAGGCGACGATTCCGATGACTGGGCTCCGGATTCCCGGAGGTTTGGGTGGATTCCTGGAGTTTTCCAGGACATTTCAAGGTAAGATAAAATTCCCGGAGGTTTCCCGGTTTTCCCGAATTTCCCGGAGAGTAGACACCATGATAAACTTAAAATACTCCATGCAATTTAATGAGAAAATAAAGAGGAATATATAAATAAAAAGTGAGAAAGATAAATAAGGGATGAAGTTAAGTTTGTCTAAGACTTGCAAACTTATTCAGCCTAAATCCTCATGTAAGAATGAACACAATGTAACAAAGAGTAATAGACTAAACAGCAGAGGATGATTATGATGTTATCGTTATCGTGAACGTGTGACATGATCAAAATTTTTAGCAAGATCGCATAAGATCAAACGAGATCAGGCGAAATTGATATTGAACCCAAAAATCATTAAGTCTAGGGATTCGGTGATTCCTCAATGCTACTTAAATTGATGGTTTTTAGAAATCAAGAATATTAATCAGCCCATCTCTGGTATCCTAAATAATACCTGTTAGGTTCGGTTTTAGGTATAAAGCACAGAGAAGAAGGAACAGAGGATACGCTCCATGGTTCACTTAAGTTGTGTCTAGCACTAGTGCTGGTGCCGTTTGGGCTCTTCTTTGCTTATCACAAGTACATTTCCGGCACACCAGAGCTGAATGCGCACGGTTGTCCCATAAGCGTGTTTCCTCTGTACCTTACTTCTCTATGGTAAAATAAAATGTATACGCCCTACTTAGTGTACTCTTATTATATTTTACTTGACTAAATCTCTTGTCTTCGTGAAAGGTTTCTATCAATAAGCATGTCTTCCAATGGGTCAAAAAATATGTCACTTACTGTAGTTCTTCTCCCGGTAGCAAGCGTGTCGCAGATTCGTGACATACTCTTCTTCTACAGACGCCTCGAGTCGCCGCAACGAGCCTTGATACTCACTGTGGAAACTCTCCTTCACATAGTATGGGACTTGTAGATTCATCGTGTTACGCATTACTGGGAACTTACTGGAAATTTTAAAATTATTTCACAACTAATAAATATTGATTTAGTCATTTATTTTTAAGTAAAGCCACCAACCTAATTTAAATACCCCCGCCGCAGCAAACCTGCAGACTGAGCAAATTTCAACTTGTCTGATTACATTTTTACTAAAATATTTCCATAAATAAGACACATTTATTCCCAATTCAAATACCAACATTAGATTTAACCAGTGCTTAGGTTTGCTGCTACGGGGAAGGTAAAAAGTGTTTTTTGACCATATGTCAATAGTATACGATGAAATAAATAAATTTGCCAAATTTTATCAACATATATCCATTAACAAGTAAACTACAACAGGTTTTATTTTCTCCATAAGAATAACATGGGAATTTTAAATTACACTTTTTTGAATTATCTCCGTGACCGTTAGGCATAAAACAGCACTTCAATATACTAAATTATTTATTTTTTTAAGCTCTACAAAATGGTTGAGAAAGAAATTGCAAAAATTTTTATTTTTAGGGTTAAAAATGGGAAAAACCTATTTTTACCCCATAAAACCCCCCATAAACCCCTGTTTCCATGGTCCGATTATGCTGGTTCGCGAACTCGTTTGAATAAATGTAGGTTTACACGTTTGTACCAAATTTCATCAAAATCGGGCAATTTTTGCTCGAGTTATCGCGCTAACGGACACATATATTAATATACTTCAGCACAACTGAGACTATATATTACTCTATATTGACTCTATATTGAGTTTTTCTATATATTAATATTCATATATATATATATATATGAATTTGAACGGATGGTGTTTTTGGCCTCTGGGGACCTCAAAACGAAAAAGTAAATCGGTCCCGGGTCTAGGTCTTACCATGAGACCTACGGTAATAGCTTATTCCCTATATGGGAAATTCGCTAAAAGCAGTAAAAATGAACTGATAATAGTAAGCATCAACTAAACAGTATAGTAGGGATGGTCAAGTCTCGAAATTTCGGGAAATTTTCGGGAAATTTTAAATCTCGTTACACAAGACGAGATTTCTTTTTGGCCGAGATTTTTATCGAGACGAGAATTAAAAAAAAAAAAAAAAAAAATTAAAAACGCCTGCAGAAAGTCAATGCAATACCCGCAATACAGGAGCGTGTTGTAGTTGCGTTTCCTTTGCGAAGGCGTTCTTATTTAATTAATTCTATAAATGTAAATATTACTCTAATTATTTTAATAATATTACTTTAATAACATTTGAGAAGTTTTGTTAAGTGTAAGCAGTGTGAGGAATGTTTTATTACTATAAAAAGTCAAAACAAGTAACTATTTTATAAAAATTAATATTGCTTTTATTTTATGATTTATTTTATTTTAGGATAAGTTGAACTATATCCTAACTGATATCACTATGTTTCCTAATCGTAGGCATTTTTAATAAGTTAGGCGTGATTAATAAAAAAATGTTATGCTGATGTTTTTTAATAAAAGATTGAAAATATTTTTGCCTATTATCAATATTTTTGTATTTAAACAGTCATCTAACAATGTTACAAAATCAGGTAAAAATTTTGAACGTGCATTTCCCGTTGTGTATGAGAAGGGAAATCCCGTCTCGATCTCGTCTCGAAATTTTGTGAGAAATAAAAAATCTCGTCTCGTCTCGTCTCGAACTAAAAATTCAATCTCGTCCATCCCTACAGTATAGTAACTGAAGGTGGAACTTAAGTGTTAGTTGTAAAAATTATTTGTTCACATTGTTTTTGACATGTTGAGCCAATCAGATAAAATCGACAACATAACAACACACCAAATATTGAAGCATCCAAACAAAATAACATTTGAAAATTCTCTATAATATTTATCTAAATATGAATACTCCGTGATTACTCACGAGCTGGCAGTTAGACTGTAGACAGGATCAGATATGAACAGTGAACTCATCATGGACAGAATCACAACCAGCATGATCGGCAGCATTTGCAGGAAGATTGTATAGCCGTTGGCCTGCAAAAAATTAAAATGACTTAACACGTTTGATAACGATTGCCACATATATGTGACGCTGCAGTCAGTACTAGGGACAAATGTATACATATTAATATTACACATAGACCCGGGTGTCACTTGGTTAACAGTACAAGCAGACCACGGGCCAGTGATGCAGCAAAGTAAAAAACAGTTTTGCCAACTATCATATGACGTTACTAATCATATCCATGGACCAAGTGACGCACTAGGCGACAGACATCCCTGTAGACCACTGCAGAGAATTCAGGGCTTTCACATAGACCGTTACGAAGATATAAGCTTTTTAATAACATTGGAACACCAACCTCCATTGCGAAGATATAAGCTTTTTAATAACATTGGAACACCAACCCAAACGTGCAATGTCAGTCTTTTTTTAATGTGACCAGACATCGCATATGTGCGTCTCTGGTCCATATGAATGAAAAATGTAGTACTATTGTGGCAGTGGACAAGTTAATTAAGCTCCCATATATTACGTAATGTAACCAACAATATTTAATTAAAAATACTTTTGGCCAAGTGGTCTGAGTCTGTTTTTACTTTTTCCCCCTTTACATAGTAGGCCTACATGAATTTTAATTTAGGCCTAGATGTATCTGTTTTTGTTTGGGTCCCCCGAACCTAAAGAAAAGGGTTTTTGAAGTGGTGTCTGTATGGATGTGAGGATATATTCAGAGCTACAGAGAACCGCCGTTGTCCAATTTCAAAGAAAATCAAAGTCTCTGGGTGTTTTAAATTTTTTTATTTTAGGATATTCAAAAACAGCCAGAACGATTTTGTTTCAAATTTAGTATGTTATGGTTATTCTAACTTTAAACAAAATGGCAAAACCCTCTATTTTTTATTTTTACAAATGCTGTAAAAATTACAGTCAAAAGTTATTAAATAAATAAATAGGTTGCAGATGAGTCAAAGAACACATAAAATCACACACATAATTTACTTAATATTTCGCCTCTTTCAGAGGCTTCTTCAGAAGTAGGCCTAGATGGTAGTTACAAAACAACAGTTTAAATAGGATGACACAGTTTGAATTCAAAATGTCTGACAGGTTGTCCAACTGACACTGCACAAAGCACTAAATACAGGCACATTGCAATATTGTATTTACATATAATATGTACATTGAAAAGCAAATTAGTTTTGTCCATGAAAATAAATACTTAAGAGTTAGCTGTGAGGGTGAGGATATGAGGATATTATCTAATGTTGAGGTTAGGTGGGGTTCTGGAGTTGGTCACAAACTGGTAAGCTAATTCCCATCTTCTGAGCATTGAACTATTGCATTGGTTCTTTGGCAATGATTTTAGAGCTTTTATGGTGAAACAGTCATCAAATAGAAGTTGGTGGGATAAGGCATGTTGTGCAACTGGTTTTTCTTTGCTAGTTTTAACATCATGTCGATGGCCGTTCATGCGTTTTCGGAGAATCTCGGTTGTTAGGCCTATGTACTGGGCTGGACAATGTGAACATTGAAGCTGGTAGATAAGGTTCTCTGAGCTGCAGGTATGATGGCCTTGGATTCTGTAATTTTTATTATGGTATGTGCTGGTAAAAGTTTCTGTAGGATGGTGTATCTGGCAAGATTTACATCGGTTTTCATTGCATGGGTATGAGCCCGGTCTTGGTTTCTCAGATGGTATTTTTGATGGATTTGGGAGTTTTGGGTGGACTAGCATATTCCTCAAATTTGGGGGTTGCCTATAGATTATGGAAGGGGCTCTTGAAAGGAGGTTTTTGGTTTGGCTGGAGGACTCTAGGATTTTGAAACCTGTTTTAAGGAGGTTGTTTAGTTGTTGCAGGCCAGGGTGGTAAGTGGTTATCAAATTTACTTGAAGATGGTTGGTATTTTTCTTTGTAGTTGGACGTGGGTTCTGAGCCGCTTGGATCTGAGATTTTACGAGAGTGCTAGGATAGCCTCGGTTTTCGAAGGCTTTTTGAAGTTGGGTTTGGTATTGTGTACGGTCTTTCGGTTCTGAAATTAGGCGATTTCCCCTTAGGGCAAGACTGTAAGGAAGTGATCTCTTGGTGTTATTCGGATGACAACTAGAAAAATGGAGGTATTGTTGGTGGTTGGTCGGTTTTATGTGGATAGATGTGGTGAGGCTATTGTTCCTTAGATGAATTGTAAGGTCTAAAAAGTTTATGGAAGTCTCAGAGAAATCCCAGGTGAAATTTAGCGGTCCAAAACTGTTGAGGTCTTCCAGGAACTTCCGTAGTGATTCTTCACCGTGGGTCCAAATTATGAAAATATCGTCAATGTATCTAAACCAGCAGATGGGGAGGTGTTCACGGCTAGACAAAAACTTTTCTTCATAATTCCCCATGTAGAGATTAGCATAAGATGGGGCCATTCTTGTACCCATGGCAGTGCCTTTGATCTGTAGGAAGTGTTTGTCCTGAAATTGGAAATAGTTCTTTTCCAGAATGAATTTTATCAGTTGAGTTATAAACGAAGTGGTGGGTAGGGATCCTTTGGGTCTGTTTTGAAGGTAGTTTTCTGTTGCTGTTAGGCCGTGGACATGAGGTATGTTTGTGTAGAGTGAGGTGACATCAATAGTGGCCATGAGAGTGTTAGCGGGGAGTGGTTGTCTGACATTGTTTTATTTATTTATTTTGATTTATTTATTTAATCCAAGCTAAATGCTTTTTCCTAAAAACATAACCTTAAAGTCAAAAGTTATTGCAACTTTTGTGATTTTACCCATAAAACGCCATAGATACTCCCAATGCTTACAAATTGGGGTTGTTGACAAGCTAATGGGAGAAAGTAAGTGTCCGTGTGTGCTGATACCTTTTGAAAGTCTAATAAATAAAATAAGATCATAGATAAAATTACACATTTTAGAACTAGCTACTATAGCCTACTAATTACACAGTAGTATTGCGGGTATATAGAACTTTACTTTAATTAGAAGATTCAGCATGCAATGTTATCAGGCAAAAATTGGTTAATATTTTACCTTTAAGCTTTGACTATTGATACAACAACTTCTGTAAACAATAGTCAATGCTTTAAGGCAATTCTGATCGAGATACAATACTCGGTCAGTTTAACTCTTGCCAGACCTGACTATATTTTATTTGATAAAAATATTTAATTTAGCCATGAGACAGCATTGCTATTCAATTCAATAGAAACAGGTTTTGCAATTATGTAATCAGAACTGTAGTCTTGAAAAAAAAACTTTTTAATTTTTTCCTTTTTAACACGATGACAGGAAATTTAATTCATTTAGCATTATTAAATTAATTAGAAAAAACCGCATGTGGCTCAACCAAGAACACCAATTATTTATACAGGTTGAACAGTTATCACAACCTCATATTTTTCCTAAATTTGTTGGGTCAGATGAATTTAAATTTGTATAACATTAAAACTAAAACTAAAATATATTTTTAAAAAACTGAAAAATGAAAGCACTGCAATGAGCACACAAAAAAAACATGTTTGATAGGGTATTTGTGCATAAATGATGTGGATATTCCTTAACAAAAATTGGAAATTTCAAATCTAAATCAACATTAGTTTATGTATTTACATTTTTATTTAAAACTATTGATATCCATAGCAACATGGTTTTTACTCTATCATTGCCACTGGACAAGTAAGTAAAACTAAAATTGCTCTACAGAGAAAAATAAAAATAGCAAAATGTACTACATGTTAGGAGCTGTTGTGTGAGTATACTATTTAATTCGCTTTGTAGAGTAAGTAATAGTATTTTTATCACCTCCAGATTTCTGGTATGTTGCGTCTGTTTATTTTTTTCCATAGCTATCAGATCTTTTTTCATTGAATAACACGATACCACATCTAACCTCATTATAATCATTACACCACTTCAGGTGTTCCTTAAACACAGTTCAATTTCCTCTTAGACTGGATGATATCGTTTCCAGCAAAAATTCATTCCTCGAGTGGACATTTAACTTTTAGTGGGGAATTTTCTTTCTCAGTATACAAGCCAGCTTTAATTTCCTGCTAACGACTTCAGCCAGAATCTTTTAGTTGTTGTTCAATTTGTTTTCCAGTTCTCTTTTTAGTGCTAGTTTTTTTTCTATATTTCTAGAATAGATTGAAACATTATCCATGCCCTTTTGGCTAGAAGTTTTCATTTCAAGAAATAAATCTCCATACCTTTGTTTAGCTTAGCATAACGGTTTGTATTTATGTAAATAAACAGTTTTAGACATTTAATGTACTAATTTGTTCTCTAAAAATAAGAAGAACACGGTGTGAGGACATGTCTCCTGAGTGTTACTGGCTTTTTGCGCTCACTTTCCTTAAATTTAGTAACAATTGATTATCTATCTATGCCATAAAGCATTTCAGGAAGGAAATGTAACACAAAAGTAGTATGGTCCTTATAACATTGTACCTTTGACTATAAATACAACAACAAAATTGTACCTAGTTGAAAATGACGACCCCCTCATATCAATCAATGACCTTTCAATGATTTAACATTAATGTCGATTTTGAGGATATGGGATTAGATATACAGCTGTATTAATAGGTACAAGTAGACTACGATCTGTTTGACAAATGTAATCAAATATTTTAATAAAGCAACTTTTGCCATCAACTTATTAAAAGCTTAGTAACATTTCCCTAGATATATGGATTTGAATTTATTCATCTGGGATGAACATAAGTTGCTAACAATTCTAATTAAAGAGGATTTTTTCAGGAATCACCCATTCTTGGCAACATGTATGGTGTTTTACAGTCTCTGTGCAACTTTTGCAATCCATTATGGTCAAGATGATGAAAATGAATCTGATCAGTGCAGCAATGAAGACACAGAAAGTCTTAGAAGCAGTTGTTCATCGAGTTCTATTTCTGAATATTCTGAATCTGAATCCAACACCAACGCTGAGTGTTCATCTATTGGGAGTGTTGGTTCTAATGCAACCATTTCTAGTGGAGAGTTTCCTGAAGATTGGTCCAGTGACTGAATTCCTACAAAATCATTGTTTATATTCCAATAAAAAATGTCCAATAAAAAACCAAACCATGTAAAACCATAAAAATTGACAATAAAGAATAAACGATAAAAAAATCCAAATTGAATACAGGGTGACTGTTCTGTTGTTTGTGGGTGTGAAACCAGATATTTTCAAACGGATAGTATATGTGACAGAGCTATTGTAGCAATGGGGGAGAGGTGTCTTTCTTTGCTAAATTCCTATGGCATTAAGTCATTTTTAGTTGCCATAGGTGATAATGCGGTACATCTCTGCATGTTTGCCTATGATGCCTATTTGCAAAAGATGAACCTACCACAGCGCAGCGATTTTTTCTCAGTTCAATTTCCTCTTAGACGACATGATATCGTTTCCAGCAAAAATACAATCGCCTTAGGTGGATTGAGAATTTTAGAATAATGGGATCTAAATGAGAAAGAAGCCGTTTTTTTTGTTTTTTTTTTTTGCTGCAGAATGTTGAAACGGTTTGGCAAGCTTTGGTTCATAAGCGGTTCTTATGCTAAAGCACTTTTTGAGGTCACAGGTGAAATAACAACGTTCGATAAACAATACCTATTTTCCTACTCTACGATTTTATCATTTTCTTACTGTTCATTTTTTCCTAGCTGTTTATTTTCAGCTACATCCATCGTCACGGATGACGACTGGTCAGGATTCAATTGGCGTAGGGTGTACTATGTTTCTATGAAGGGTCGCTACCCGTTTCAGTGGTATTCTGTAATACAGGGTGTCTAGTTTATTTCCATTGTAAAATTCAAGACTAATTCCAGACTTTTCAAGACTAATTCCAGATTTTTCAAGACTAGTTTTTTCAACAATTAGTGGGCGTTGATAAAAAAAATGTATCGATTTTCGATTCTTGATACCGATACCAATTTTTATAGCTTAACCAAATTTTCTAAATAATACTACACCAACCCCTGTCTTTTTCATAAAGTAGTATTATGATAATGTGGAATTTTCAAGTAAAGAAATAATGCAGCAATGAAAAATTCTAACTAGCAAATTTGGTTGTTTTTTTTATCATGAAATCTTCCGCGTACCGTACGTTTAGACATCATCATTGACTGCGGCGGTTACAGAAACGTGATCGTCATCGTCCGCGATTGGGGCAAAATCATCATGAAAATTTTCCGCGGCTGTTTAGACATCACCGTCATCTCCAGCGGTCATGGAAACGTCATCGTCGACGTTCGCAATCACGGCAAAATCATGAACATTTCCCGCGGCCGTGTAGACATCATCATCGTCTCCCGTGGTCACAGAAACGTCATCGTCATCTCCCGCGGTCACAGAAACGTCATCGTCATCTCCCGCGGTCACGGAAACGTCATCGTCGTCGTCCGGGATCGCGGCAAAATCATGAACATTTCCCGCGGCTGTTTAGACATCACCGTCATCACCCGCGGTCACGGAAACGTTATCGTTGTCGTCCGCGATCACGGCAAAATCATGAACATTTCCCGCGGCCGTGTAGACATCATCGTCGTCTCCCGCAGTTACGGAAACGTCATCGTCATTTCCCGCGGCCGTGTAGACATCATCGTCATTTCACGCGGCCGTGTACACATCATCGTCGTCTCCCGCGGTCACGGAAACGTCATCGTCATATCCCGCGGTCACGGAAACGTCATTGTCGTCGTCCGGGATCGCGGCAAAATCATGAACATTTTCCGCGGCTGTTTAGACATCACCGTCATCACCCGCGGTCACGGAAACGTTATCGTCATCTCCCGCGGTCACGGAAACGTCATCGTCGTCGTCCGGGATCGCGGCAAAATCATGAACATTTCCCGCGGCTATTTAAACAACACCGTCATCTACTGCGGTCACGGAAACGTTATCGTCGTCCTCCGCGATCTTGGAAAAATCATGAGAACATTTCCCTTGCCCGTGTAAACATCAACGTCATCTCCCGCGGTCACGGAAACGTCATCGTCATCTCCTGCGGTCACGGAAACGTCATCGTCGTCTCCCGCGGCCACGGAAACGTCATCGTCGTCTCCCGCTGTCACAGAAACGTCATCGTCATCTCTCGTGGTCACGGAAACGTTATCGTCGTCTCCCGCGGTCACGGTAATTTTATCGTCGTCCCCAGCGGTCACGGGAAGGTCATCGTCGTCTCCCGCGGTTTTGGAAACGTCATCGTCGTCGTCCACTATCGCGGCAAAATCGTGAACATTTCCCGATGCCGTGTAGACATCATCATCATTGGCTTTCGCGGTTTATGTAAACGCAAGACGACGATCGAGGCAAAATCATGAAAATTCCCGACTTTGAAATCAAATTTAAGACTAAATCCCGACTTTTCAAGACCATTTTGAAATTCAATACTAATTCCCGACTTTCCCGATTTTCCCGACTACTAGACACCCTGGTAATAACATGGTCGCCAGATGTAAGCGTGTGTGAATTCTGTCTTTGGGGTCTTTACAAATTTTGTGTATACAACTCAAAACTCCGAACCCTTCTTGATCTAGTGGAATGGTCTCAATTATAGAGATTGATTTACATAACTTATCAAAAGTGAATTTAATTTCAATCCACAAGGTCTTTTGGATTGTATTTACTCTGTTGAGAACCAAGAGGATAGTTGGTACTCAGTCTCACCTCTCTCTGCTGTTGAGGATGAGGTTCTTGTCGTCTCCATTGGTTGCCCCGTCTCACATACACATTGTTGGAACTTGCGAAACCTCCACCGAAGAACATGTTGAAAAGTTCCTCAGCTGTCACATCGGCTGAAAAACAAACCTTTTTACAGATATCAAATCAATATATTATGGCCTGTGACTATTTCTGCCAACAAAGAAAGCAATACTGTTAAAACTCTTCAAGTAGCTATTCTTTAAAAAGCTTTACCTTACTTATGGCAACAGAATCAAACAATCATTTGTTCTATCTTACGCTTGAAAATGAAAAATGTTGTACAGGGAGCGGCAGAAATATCTGACGGTTTTCTAGCGAGTACAGTCCGGCAGCCGAGTGGAGGGGGGTAGTGGGGAGCGGCTCATTCTCAAGGCAAAGTGACCCCATTTCAGTCGCCACGGAGCAGTGGACCGGTATACATCGCGCGTTTGTTGTTGAGGCGTATTTTAAAAGTGGCGATTCTGTTGTTGATACGCAACGTAAGTTTTGTAGGCATTTTAATGTGGCTTGTGGGGAACCTATCCCATCCCGAAACACCATCAAATTGTGGGTGGATGCCTTTAGATCCACAGGATCAACTGCAAAACGTAGGCCTACAGGCCGTCCAAGGTCAGTGAGGACACCGGAGAACGTGGAGCGAGTGCGACAAGCTGTGCTAACGAGCCCGCATCGCCCGATGCGTAGACAAGCTGCTGCTCTTGCCATGTCTGATCGCTCTATTCGACGAATTTTGCAGTCAGACCTTCACTTTCCTCCATATAAAATAGCAATCGTCCAAAAACATCAGCCACACGACCACGCTAATCGTCAAACATTTTCAGAGCAAATGATTGATTTGATGGATGACGAAAAAATTCTTGTAATGAGTGATGAGGCCCATTTTCACCTAGATAGCTATGTAAACAAACAGAATTTTAGGTATTGGTCGAATAGTTGATCTAAAGGTATCCACCCAAAATTTGATGGTGTTTCGGGATGGGATAGGTTCCCCACGAGCCACATTAAAATGCCTACGAAACTTACATTGCGGTTGCGTATCAACAACAGAATCGCCACTTTTAAAACACCCCTCAACGACAAACGCGCAATGTATACCGGTCCACTGCTCCATGGCGACTGAAATGGGGTCACTTGGCCTTGAGAATGAGCCGCTCCCCACTACCCCCCTCCACTCGGCTGCCGGACTGTACTCGCTTGAAAACCCTCAGATATTTCTGCCGCTCCCTGTATATTAGAGAACAAAATTGATTCTGCTTTGCAATATAATGTATACTGAGTGAACGTAATAGACATCTCATCTATATTTGACAGAAATCCTTCATTTAAATCAGCAGATTTTCTTAATGGCTCAACTCAACTACATGTCATGTTTATACATATCATGTGTTTATCCTAAAACAGCTTAAACTCTAACATGGAAATGTAATGTCTAGTTCTATCTAACCATAGTCAAAAGTTAGAGCCAACACACTTAAGACATTGTAGCAATCCATTTTTACAGTGCAAAATTTCCAATTTTTATACTCCCGCCTTCACACTCTAGGACACTGGCCCTCGCCATTATTGTTTTACACATTACTTCACATTAGGCCTAGAGGGGTTGCGGCATTATCACATGGATAAAAGCCATTAGTAATAGGTAGGAATTGAACCCGGGACCTCAGGGACTCAAGCCCTGCGCTCTACCACAAGACGAGCTTATTCCCCATTAAAAGACTCATTTAGGTAGTGAAGCTCTAAGAGCCATTAGGTAGTCCTTATCCTTATAAATATACCCTCGATGAAATCCTTAACCTAATCTTTGACTATTGAAGATATTCCATCCCCATGTTATAGTTGTCACCAGTTTTTAAATCAAAATAGTCATAGTTGTTGTGAGCCATCAACAGATTTACTGATATAAATTAAGTTACCGACTTCTGTAGAATACATGAACTATTTTTTACCAAATCAAACTGATAAAACTTTTTGTGAGCCATAGCAACTGTCATGATACCAACTGGAATTTTAGTAACAATCCCATTCTGTGACTGGCTCATACAACTAAGTTTTTTTTTTATAAGAAATTGGCGACAGCTGGTAGTAATAGTCAATGTCCTTATCCTCTATAATCACCCTCAAATCCTCTGGTGTAGTTGTATTCGTGATGTGTACGATTGCGATGGGTAGGGTGCCTCTCCTCCTCTGCCCCGTACATGTCGTACTGCTTACGCTTCTCAGCATCCGTCAATACGGCCACAGCGTTACCAATGGCTGCAACAAAATGTTACATATCAATTTAAACTCTCACTTGAAGGTATATTTGCTGAAGAGTTGTGAACCATAAAACTAGTCATACTGAGTAAAACTATAGTTCGGCCGCTTAGAAAGCGACCTCCTCCAGCATTGGTTTAGCATTAGCGCGCAGGTCGTTTTCTAAGCGGCCGAACTATAGTAACATATTACCGTAGGTTAGAGAATTTCCCTAATAAACAGTTCCTTAAATGTATTGTTTTGTTTATTAGTGGAAACCAATTTAAAATATTTACGTTATGAGCTAGACGACAAAGGATACATAGGGATCATACAGGAGTGGCATGCATATAAAAATATACCCTAGTGAAACATATGAATACAAACAATAATATTAACTGTTTAGGTGAGTCGGTGGCTCAGTTGGTAGCACCTCAGACTTTGGGCCTAAGTCAGCGATGTCTTGGGTTCGGATCATGGTACCTGTGATTTACTTTTATCAGTAAATTTCACCCTTGTACTGAATCCGCGCACCCTTGCTTTGCTGGATACGTTCCACGCATAGGGTTCTGTGGCCCATGGGGGCAGGTAAATGCAAGGTTAAGAGGCCAAAAACCTCTTTCACAAAAACAGTAACTTACATCAATTAGGATTTTTGTTTGTTTCAGATACACTTGAGTACAATTTGCAACATTTTTATGTCATAGAAGTACAAGATAACTGGTCAAAGTGGTGGACCCTCGATTTAAGTATACAAAAACCGGATAATATGAAGATAGCCAACTGTTAAACCAGTAAATATGGTCACACAAATTCCAATCATATGGATAAACACAAGAAATTAATTAAATAAAAATATCTTAGAAGAGAAGCAAAACAGAAGACAGAAGACCTACAAGAAATACAAACAAAATATTTGATATTGTAGACATATTTATGCTATGCTGAAACAATTAATATATTGTAACATAACCTAATAAATTTTTTTAATTTATTTTCTAAATTTTTTCTCCCCATTCAAACATTTGAAACTCATTCGTACTGTTATAGTTGAAAGATTCGTCTGAACTTCTTTCATGGAATGCTTCATTGCTACTGGATACAAGGTAAATTAGGTTTCAACAAAATAGTACATTTTTTAACCAAGAACTATTGAATGGTTGAACGAACACTCACCTTTAAATGCCTCAGCAGCCCCAGGTGCCTTGTTTTTGTCCGGGTGCAACTGCAGTGCAAGTTTCTTGTATGCTTTTTTGACGTCGCTGTCCGTTGCATCCTTCTCCACCCCAAGGATCTCATAGTAGTCCTTGCATTTCTTTATCCTGTCAAAGTTAAACATTTTTGAGAAGAGAGCAAACCTCCATCAAAAAAACTGTGTATGAATGAATTTACACTGCCAAATTAATTTCCTTGTTTTGGGTCAACAATTCTCTCACTGGCTAACATTGGGTCTGAAGATATATCTCTAACCAACTCAAACCTTCCCCAGTTTAAATTGCTGTTAGTGACGGTGAAATATTCTATTAATATTTGTATAGTGTACAGTTTTGTGTTTCTTGTACCAGATTTGGACTCTTTCCCGTTCAGGTAAGCCTGCTATCATCACAAAAATCCTAAAAGTATAGGCCTATTGACAATTAGAAAAAGTTGGATAGTTCTCAGGTGGAACTAAATATTAATGATGGCATTATATCGGTTTAAATATCCCATTTGCTGATGTTTAAAATTACTAAAGTTTTATACATCAGCAATCCTCTCCCTAAATTCTGTTCTAGGCTATCCAGAAGCGGAATGATGAGTTAAAACATTTATAAAGTTCATAGAACTTTTCTCCTCTACAAAATAATCAATGTTGTTGAACCGTAAAACGTTCACAGCTTACCTCTGTACAGCTTCAAGCTGCTCCTTTGTGAAATCGGCACTTGATGAAGGCTCTTCTTTCTTTGGTGCTGCAAAAAACATTTAAATACAATTTTTTGGAAAAATATCAGAATTGAGAATAGTTTTATTCTTATTTTTATTCTTCACCTACACCTTCTTATGACAAACTAGGCTATCTCGGTACCTGTAGCCGGCAGTAGATTGAACATGGAGTAACCCGCCTCTCTCTCTATTATTTGCACTGTTAGTAAGATCGTCAGCTGTTCCTGCCGTGATATGTTTTGAAGAAAGAGTGGAATTATTCAATTTGTTTAATTTTCATTGAGGATATGATCCGTATTTTTTGCCCTTAAGATTTGGAAGTGCTTTTTTCCCAATAATGTTAAATTTAGAACTGCATGAAATGCCAATGAAGCCTATATTTAACTCAAACCTAAGAGAAATTCAACTTTTTATCCGACCATACAACACTACATCCTAGAGGTTCAAAATATCCATTTGAGCAACGGATAAGTAAGAGCTGTAAAAATGAGTATTTGTAATTAAATCAAAACGCTGGGCGGCTTTTGATGATTGAATCATGTTGAATATGACATTACCAACGAATTTACAGATCTATGATAAACATGCAAGTTAGCAGGTAATTATACAGATTTTTTTTTATTTTTAAATTGATTATTAATTACCGCTGCTTAAAGAATTCAAATTCTTTACCTGTAAATCGCTTTCGAGGAGCAGATTCTTCTGCGTGGGGACTTGACTTTCTCCTTGAAGCATTGTTTAGCTGCTGAAGACGTTCAAGAAGTTCTGAAAGATAATTACTTAGTAAGTTAATTTCTAAACAATAAATCCATATACATTGTTTATTTATTTGTTGTCTAGTAAAAACTACATTTGTAGGCTGGACTTATTATCTTCCACCATTTCAAAACTATTTACTTTTCATTGCTTACCTATTCATAATAAGTTGTATAACCCTATTTCAAAATAAAATAAGCCTATAACCCAAATCTCATAATACACTGACACTATACTTTTAACTAGCCTATTAGGTTAGATACCCTGCTTTAGCCTATACTATCTACAGCACAGAAAAGTCTCTGTGTCTACAGTTCTCGAAAGCATTCTTATTGGATGGTATTCAGGCTATTTTTATTGAAAATTTAATTACAGAAGTCTACCTAGGTTGGATGTGTTAACTCATCGTTTATGTTCGAGTAGACCAATATATTTTTATGATAATTTTGATTTAAAAGGAATTATTTACATTTTAAAGATCTTATTTGATTAGGATAGTGTTGTTTTTTTTATAAGTTGATTCTTTCAAATTTAACAGTGAAGTAAATTAAAAACTAACATTTTTCATTTATAGTAGGCCATTTTTTTATATAGTAGGTATTTTTCGGGTAGTAGGCCTATGACCTAATAAAATAATATAGATTTTTAACTATAGGCCTATAAGACTACTAAGTAAGCAGAACAAGAACCATGGGTAATTAATTTTGGTAGACATTTATGAAAAATAAGTTGGTTATAGTAGTGATTGATTAAGCCTGATTGCTCATAAAACAGTTCAACGTTTTCTGTTTTTCTTTCCTTTTTTATTATTTTCCTCATTTAATTTAGTAATAGCCCAAATACCCTGCATCTACGTCATTATACAAGCTGTGTAAATCACACGACACACACGTTTCTGACTGAAGCCTTACGAATGTCTATTAGTCAATCTCATCAAGACTCTATTTTTACACAACAGATCTACTTATAGAAGGCCTAATTTATAGTTTACCTGTTATGTTATTCTTCTTTAAGATATGTAGCCTGATTTAGGTCTACTAAGTAGGCTACCTGGTTTGAACTTAAACATTGACTTTTTAAAGAGATAGGCTATGCCAATGATTTAAAACTAGTCAAATTAGAATTACAGATAAGACACAGTCCACATAATCACCTGATAAAAAAAAATCAAAACTTAAAACATAGGCCTACATTTTTTACTACAGTAATTTTGAAATGATGAACTGCCATGCTCAATAAAGTGAATTCAGAAGGGTCTCTTCCGAACCCAGAAAAAATTCAATAGCAACAAACGGACAAACACAAGGCCAGGTAGACGATACGAGACTGCAGAATATTAAACTATTTTTACCCTGCTTTCAGGTTGCAGTTTTCTATCTGCCTGGGGCATCTTAATGTAGTCATAAGAGTAATCAGTACCGGTATTCGCGGCAATATCTTTACATTCTCCCACAGTCGCGAAGACAGTGTCATTGTCTCTCGTGATCACAGCAAATTTTAGATGTTCTTCAGCGATTTAAAAAATATCATCATCACATTTCTATGACCCCAGCAAGAAGTTATATCTCGTCATTCCCCACAATCCCAAAGACATCAACATCGCCTCTCGTGATCGTGGCAATATCTAGACGTGCCCTTGAGGATGCCATAAGGATCTTAACATTCTCCCTTTCCTCCGCAGTGCAGACGTCACTACCGTCTCCCGTGATCCCGACAATATTGACATTAACTCCCTTGGTCGTGATGACATCATCACCGCCTCACGTGATCTTGGCAATCTCGTTGTTTTCCCATCGTCCCAAGAACATCACCATCGTCTTTCGTGATCGTGGCAATATCACCGCCTATATTTAAATGGACAGTGTCTTCGGGGACGAAATGATACACCATTATTATTTTTTACTTACCTATTAATTACTTCTAATTACTTCCCAAGATGATCAACAACTACTGGTGGTGATACGACCAACAAAGTGCTACCTGTCTGTTACATAATAGACTTCCCATGGGTAATGTAAAAATCTGAAGCCAAATAGGTGGTGCAATCTGTTGAGATGGTCTACTAACTAATAACAATATTCTGTGTTTAACTGATGAATCCATCAGCTGTTTGCTATGATACTGCATTGATTTTATTTAATTAATATTTAACCCAAAACACTAAATTAAGTACCCTCTGGTGAGATGGTCCTGAACTTTATCTATTTATTTTTTTTATTTTTTGGCTTCAAATTTTTACATTAGGTCTAGGCCTACATACATAGAAAGTCCATTCTATATAGTAAATGCCTGTACTCATGCAGCCAAACGGACAGCCATGAAAAAGGCTGATTAAATTATGACGGATGTGGAAGCGGCTTTGAACACATTAAATTAAATTTTTAGACTTAGGCTATCTGAGATGCAAGATGATGAGCATGCAAAAAAGATTAGAGACATAGAGGAGTGTGAAGAAACTGGGACATTTAGTGTCCAGGACCTCACTTGTCAAGCTCGGCTAAGTTATTTGGTAAAAACATGTACAGCTAACTAATGTAATGTAGGGTAGGCAGGCCTGCCCTACATAATGTTTAAGTAATGGAACATAGTAAATAGCCTATCTGTTGGCTCAAACAACCGAATGAAAATATTTATTATTCGATAGTTTCATTTGTTTTATCGTTTGGTTAATTACATTAACCTTACTAAACTAACCAATCGATATATCAAATAATTAATATCGATCAATATTTTTATTCTGTTGTTTGTGCCAACAGATACGGAAGTTTACCCGGCTTACTTACTTAAGAGTCTGTAGCCTTAAATAACACAATCCTACTCAACTCACTAAGCGGGTATAAGTTATAGGCCTATGGCTGGATTAGACCCATAAAATTAGTAGACCCAGGCCTAGTAACAGCCTAAAGCTGTAGTTTTGTTGTAAATATTGACTTAGAAAGCACACAGACTATAGAACAGTGATTAAAAGACTTAAATGCAAGACATTTTACATGAGTGTTTTAAGTCAAAGGTCTAGTCTAGGCTAGGCCCTATATCATAGGATACCTTAGTTGGCATTGACTTCTAGACTAAGTTAGGCCTAAGTATTTTGAAAAGTATGTAGGGATATTTACCTTTAGCTTTAGGGGTGGAGTACAACTTTTCCGCTTTGAGCAGAAACTTTTCAGCTTTCTCACGACTGCCATCCAAGATGCATTTTTCTGCTATCTCTATACACCTTTCAGCTTCGTCTTTGTTTACTTCCATTGCAGGCAGAGAAACAAGATGATTTAATAAGTAACGCTCCTGATAACGGAGCAAAATTGAGTAGCTGTACAACGATATCTATACCATGCACGTTCCTAATTTTCTTACAAAACTCGAAAAGAAAACTACCCACTATAAAGTAATAAATATTTAATAGGTAACAAACCAAACCAATACGACGTAACTTTCCTGCAGGATGTGACAGACGAAACGAAATGGTTCTCTCAAAGAGAATCATATGATGCAAGAGCTTTTTTTTTAAGGTTTCAGTTTGTATCGCACAGCCAGAGCCAACAGTGGTTAGGCAATTTCCCTGGAAATAGGGATCGTTGATTTTTACTCAATTTCCTTATAGCTACATAAAGTAAGCTTATAAAGTAAGGATACCTTACCAGGATTTATTTGGGTTGCCTACATGTTTAGAAATTCTAGTCAAAACGACATACGAGACAAAAGTAGTTTTAAAATACCCTGCCACAGCAAACCTGCAGACTAAGCGAATTTCCATTTGCCTGATTGGATTTACACTAAAATGTTTCCTTAAAAATATCACATTCATTACATATTTAAATATAATTAGTTTACCGAGGTTTGCTGCAACAGGGAGGGTAAAAGTGTTTTTTTAATGTTAACATTTAGTAAGAAATTCCACAAATTTCCTGAAGATTCCACCTTGTACAATAGGGAAAAGAACATTGAGCGATTGAGGGCAGAAGGAGACAACTTGCTGGAAATGGCTATAAGGATTTGGTTTATAGTAAACCGTTTCAAAATCAACGAGGCAATAACCCAAGTCCCTAATCTGTACTCTGCAATCGAGGATAGAAAAGGGCGAGGCTGTAAAGCTATTAGGTTTCTGGATTGACCCACCCCAGGGCCCATTTCATAATAAAGTACAAACTAATATTATTAGTAAATCAGCTGATCGCCCAATACAAATCTAATGGAAATTACAAGTTACAAGTTGTAACTTGTAAAACTTGTAGTTTATTATGAAATGGGCCCCAGGCTAGGCTGGAACATCCACACAGACAAGGTTTGTGTCGAAGTTGTCAAGAATCCTCTACCTTCTCAGGAAGCTTAGAGAAGTTATTACTGAAAACTACTTGATTACCATTTATCACTACTTAATTGTTCCATGGCCATATATATACTGTACTGTATGGAATAATACTTTGGGGCCAATCTCCTTCAGCCCAGGAAATAATACTTCTGCTAAAGAAAGCCTTGAGAGTCATATATAACATCTTCCACCCCAAGAGAACACTGCCGACCTCTTTTTAAAGAATTGGGTATACTGCCCTAGACAGCCTAGTACTGTTAAATGTGGTGACACACTATCGATCATTTCTCCGATCAAAACCCCGAACCGAGCAGGGAGAAGGGAGGTAAATACAAGTAAAATTTCAATACGAAAATTTCCCCGAACGAGACTAAGACCAGACAAGTTCTACCGAGCGCGGCAAAAGGGAGTTTAGAGATAGAGATGGAGAGCGTGTGTGAGTAAGAGCGCGAATAAGGCAGTGATAATTAAACAGTAATAAAAAATGAAATAGGTAACATATGTTACAGAATGATAACTTTAATTGCCTTTAGTAATATTTATATTAATTTTAAAAGAATTTTAACATAAATTACATTGATTTAACGGTTTCAACTTGTAAAATACATTTTCAACCTTCACCAAACAAACACCACACATTTACAACACAAATGCTTAAAATATATAACGGCAAAATATTACACAACATTTATTTTTATTTTATCAATTTAAGAGTTTAATTTCCATATTAAATTAGAATTATCAACGCTAGTGCAGTTAGTTGGCCGCTCGGTGCAGCGCTCGCGACGACGTGGGCAAAAATATGACGTGGCACACACTATCTATCACTCCGTTCATCGGCAATCGGATCGACCTTTTATTTGATCTTTCGCCAAAAAAACTGCCTCCAAAGCACTCGTCTGTGTCTCCCTACTCGGCCTGATGTCTGGTTACCGACTAGATCGGGTGTACGGACCCGGGACCCCTGACCTAGGAGGATTTAACATTAAGGACAGGGATGACATGCTGTTTTTGTTTCGTTGAAGCCAGCATACTTTGAGGGGGGAGGCCTCTCATGTATTTATTTTTATCAACGGTTCCACCAATTTTTACAAAGTGAGTTAATAATAACAATCAAGACAGCTAGATTTTAAATAAATAACAAACAATAATATACAATCAATTAATAACAATATTACAACTATAATCTATTTACAATAAAGATTTTGCAGTTTACTCATACTGCGTTGTATGGGTTACTCGGAGATTTGGTAACAGTAATATCAATTAACTATTTAAAAATTAGACTACATCATGCTAAGAAAATTAAAAACTTAAATTCTAACCATAATATTGGGAACCTGTTAAGAGGATGGGATGGACCAGTAGTACGTTGAATGTGGATCAACGTGTAATCCATATGTTAACAACAAAATATTTGCATTAATTTCCTCATGTAATAAATTGTCAAGGTAAATGATTCATACGATGGATAATTATACTTTTCAAAAGCATTACCTTTGTCTCTATATTTAAATTTAATCTGTTGGTTTTAAGCTCTTCATGATTTTTAAATTCTGCCTGCGAAAGAGAAATTTAACTAAAAAGTGATTTACTACTGGAAAGAGGTTGATAAACCCTGATAAACCCCAAACCCGGACGTTTCGTTTCTGCTTCACTCCACTCCACTTCCACTTTTCCACTTCAGCTCTTCAGCTCAGCCAGCACTTAGCTGTTCTTGTTCTTTCTTCTTTCAGTTTCAGTTAGCTCGGCGTCGGCCATTTTGAATTAGGTGCCCACCGGTGTTGTCAAATTAGATTTCTTTACCATTATTAAATTCGATATAAGTAGTTTAAAAGTGTTAAAAATTGGGTTATAAATAGACTTAGTTTGCGGCCAAATCCAATATCGAACCAAAACTTCATTGTTGTAAAAACAGTACACAGAGACATCATCTTATTTCTCTAATTGTCTGGAAATTTTACGAGGTGGGTGTGAACAACTTGTACTTTCCTTCTTTCACAGACGATTTTGAGTTTAGCTATGTAAAATACCTAGTCGATAATATTTTTAGCCTTAGCTTATAATGTACAAACTAAAATCATAACCTGATTCTAAGAGCTGAACTTAGCCCTTAAGTAACATAAAAATAAAACAAAACAAAGGTAAGCCTAGCCTAATTCTGCTACCCTAGGCCAGGGTTGCCACCTTAGGTTAGGGGAAAATCGGGACATGGCCCCCCTCCCCCCGGATTAACATAGGCTTAACCCTAGCAGTGGCCAATGTTAGAAGTGGGGAATGGCCAACCCATTTTGGCGATTTTGCAGACCTTTTTTTGAAAATTCGTAAAAATTCAACCGTACAAGTAAACCTAGCCAACCTCATATTCATTTTGTTCGGAAAGAACAGGAGAATTTAGAAATAGTAATATCATAATGATTTAGACAGTGTATTTTATCGATAAAATGAAAAAAATAAAAAAATTTGAATTTTTTTTTTGAAATTTCAAAAGCGGCCTTGGTATTTTTTTTCTACGGATTTCTTTATGGGAAATTCATTATATACATTTTGTAGAAAATCTAATTCCCTACATAGAAATATATAACATGTTAGGAAAATATTTTTTTTTTATAAGTTTTTGGGGCAAAATATAATGACAAACGGAGAACCGAAAAAATTTAGAACCGTACAGTGTTAGTTTATGTTGTAAAAAGTTCTATAATACATGTGTATACTAATAATGATATATACATGTTTGTAAAGCTAATGAAGTAAGGAATCAAAAAAAGTCATAAAGTTTATGGTAAAAATAATTTTTTACCTATAAACATACGTATATAAAATAATGTTTATATATTTTAGCGATTTCTCGAAAAACAAAATTCACAGTACTTAGTATACAACTTTTGTACCAAATTTTTTTACTTCAAACCAACATAATAATCTTGTAGTGTATTCAATTACCAACATAAAAATGTATAACATGTTAGAAATATTTTTTTTGTAGGTACGTAATAGGGACATAATAATACAATAACCGCAAAACCGCAAATAAGTGTAAACTATAGCCTACAGTGTTTGCTTGTGTTGTGAAACATTATGTAGGCTGATGATATGTAGCCTACATATTTGTAAAGCCAATGAAGTAAGGAATCCAAAAAAGTCATAAGTATGATGGTAAAAAGTTATTTTCACCTATGATTATGTAGGCCTATCAATTTGAGAACGTTTTGAATTTTTTGCGCATTTCGAGAAAATGGAGTGTACAGTATTTAGTAGCCTATATAATTTTTTACCAAATTTTTTACACCCAAACCAATATAAACATGTTGTAGTGTATTCATTTACCTTTATAAAAATGTATAACACCTTGGGTAAATCATTATAACCCCTCTGAATGTCAGAATCGTCATTTTTGGACATGATGCTAACAAAATAGCCTACAGTAGTAGGCCTATTTAGTATAGGCTATAACTTTTTTACAAAATTGTTTACCCCCGAACCATTATAAACATGTTGTAGTGTATTCATTTACCTTTATAAAAATGTATAACACCTTGGGTATATCATTATATAGGTACAACAATCTCTGAATGTCAGAATCGTCATTTTAATACATGATGCTAACAAAATACAACCTTTTATGAACACTATTCCACACAATTCAGTAATATTTATGCATGAAGATAACTGTTATACACACACACAACACTTCACTTACACTAACACTACGAACTAATAACATATTTAGTAATAAATCGCGGATAAAACTATTACGGCAACAACACAAACAAACAATGGCAATACAAGACAGCTGACAGACTGTGGCAGTAATGACTCACTTCCGTCGTCTACATCACTGTCTACATGCGAGCATACAGAAATAACCCTGAGTGCAGGGCTGCCACTCTCTGAATCTAAATTTCTTCCTCTTCAAAATGATATACTATATGACTAGTAATAATAACTTTCACTGTATATAATTCGTATTTTCCATACTGTCACCAGACGACTGTTGGCCATTTGTTAGAAATTTCGAAAACAGCTGTTTTCATAAAATCGTACCGATTGTGCAATCAATATTTAGTTATAAATATCACTATCACAATGAAGATAAAATCAATGGCTATCCAGTGGTATCACCCGCAACATCCCAAGACGAAAATTACCCGAGCAGGGTAATGCCAAACAAGACGTGTTTTGCCAGTTCCCAAGTGTCGGCTGCAAAAGTCGTACCGCGCCAAAATTTCATTTGATTTCTAATCGTCGTGACATTGTTATATACCTGCTACAGGGTTTGTTTATGTAATCAAATGAAAGTTCAGAATGTGATCTTTCGAATGGTATATATATTATTCTAATCTGAGTTGATTGTAAGTGTTTTTTTTACCGTTAAAAAAATTTCGGCCCATACCGTAACCAGACGACTTTGGCCATTCTAAGCATCAACGTCATACCGTAACCAGACGACGGTTGGCCACTGCTAGGGTTAAGTGCAGGCACAAGGAACCAAAATCGGGACTGTCCCGGCAGAATCGGGACTGTCCCGGCAGAATCCGGACTGTCCCGGCAGAATCGGGACGGGTGGCAACCCTGCTCTAGACCTAGGCCGAGGCTACTTAGGCTCATGATAGGCCCTAAGTTAGGCAATGACTGTCGTTTTCACTGGAAAAGTCAAATAGGCCTAGGCTAAGTAAAATCGGAAAAAGACACAAACTTTTCAATTATCAAGCCACATATTTAGCCCACTTCCTGGGCTATGGACAGATATAGGCTAGGCTATCCGTCAATCTCCGTTAAAGGTCTAGGTGGGAAACGGATATCCTATATCTGTCCTGAGAAAATCCTTTTCTGGGCTAAAGACGTAGGCTAACTTAAGTTAGCCTATATCTAGTGATGTAAAATACCTGGGTATTTAAAACTCGGGGTAAATACCCTGGGTATTTACCCGGGTAAATACCCATAATCCAGAAATACCCGGGTATTTCTGGGTATTTATGAAATCGATTGAAATTAATTCATATTTACCACTAAATATCTTATTGTTATCATTACATGATAAATTAGGATAGTCTATAACACCTTTTACAGTAACTTGAAGCTTTGCTAGTACCTTTTATTGAATGATTTAGCACTTTTTTGTTATAAAATCAAGACAACACCTCATCAGAGAAATAGTGAACCTAAACCTACTTCTATTGTTATTAAACTAGTAGTACGCTTATTCTTCACGTAACAGGATGAGTGAACATGAGCGCAATAATGAAAGAGTTTACCCACACCTAGCACACTTACCGGTGTCACTGGTGTACACAAAAATGTTATTTGTATGGGCAAATCAACCCATGAGTCGGGGCAAATAATGGTGAGTCGGTGACTCAAGTCGGTAGCGTCACGCGAACTTCGGGCCCAAGGCAGCGATGTAGTGAGTTCGGATCCTGGTCACTGCCACTAAATTTTATCAGTACAGTTCACCTTTGTACTGTACCGGCTCACCAATTGCTTTGCTGTAAACGATCCACGCACGGGCGAGGTTAAAAGAGGCTGGACCAACCTCTTAAAAAAACCAAATCTCAGTCAACAACAATCCTAACTTCTCGTCCATTGATTAACCAAAGTCATTGGTAATATACGTAACGTATTTCCTGTTTCCCTCTCTTCTCATAGCATTTTATTATTGCTGATACGTTAATCTAACTGTCACAAAGAGTTCCCACACTCTGGACTGTTCACCTTGACTACTTCCTTTACCACTTCCTACGTCGTGGACCTGTTTCCCTCTCTTCTCATAGCATTTTATTATTGCAGATACATTAATCTAACTGTCACAAAGGGTTCCCACACTCCGGACTCCTCGCCTCGACTACTCCCTTCGCCACTTCCTACGTCGTGGACCTGTTTCCCTCCCTTCCAATAGCATTTTAGTATTGCAGGTATATTAATCTAACTGTCACAAAGGGTTTCTACACCCCGGACTGCTCGCCTTGACTACTTGCATCACCGCTTCCGACGTCGTGGACCTGTTTCCTTCCTTTCCTATAGCATTTTAGTATTGCAGGTATATTAATCTAACTGTCACAAAGGGTTTCTACACTCCGGACTGCTCGCCTTGACTACTTCCATCACCGCTTCCGACGTCGTGGACCTGTTTCCTTCCCTTCCTATTGGAATTTAGAATTGCAGTTATATTAATCTAACTGCCACAAAGGGTTTCTACACTCCGGACTGCTCGCCTTGACTACTTCCTTTACGGCTTCTTATGTCGTGGACCTGTTTCCCTCCCTTCCTATAGCATTTTATTATGGTAGATACATTAATCTAACTGCCACAAAGGGTTCCCACACTCCGGAATGCTCGCCTTGACTACTTCCTTCACCACTTCCTAAGTGTCGTGAACCTGTTTCCCTCCCTTCCCATAGCATTTTTAGAATTGCAGATACATTATTCTAATTGTCACAAAGGCTTCCCACACTCCGGACTGCTCACTTTGACTACTTCCTTCACCACTTCCTACATCGTGGACCTGTTTCTCTCCCTTCCCATAGCATTTTTAGAATTGCAGATACATTATTCTAACTGTCATAAAGGCCCCCCACACTCCGCAGCGCTCGCCTTGACTACTTCCTTCACTATTTCCTACATCGTAGACCTGTTTCCCTATCTTTCCATAGCATTTAAGTATTACAGATACGTTAATTTAACAGTCATAAAGGGTTTCCGTACTCCTTTCTTTTCACTGCTCACCTTTCCGCTTTCTTTACTACCCTCTACGTCGGGGACCTGTCCCCCCCCCCCCTTCGCATAGCATTTTAGTATAAAAATATACCAACATTTTTGAATATTTAATATTCAATGCCAACATTAAATTGAATAATGTAAAAAGCTGCTTTGTTCTAAATACATACATACCTATATACTTTTAATTAAAAGGCGAAATTTTAATACTGAACATAAACGGTATATAACTGCCGACTAATATTGTTAAGTT